GAGAGAGAGAGAGAGAGAGAGAGAGAGAGAGAGAGAGAGAGAGAGAGAGAGAGAGAGAGGGAGGGAGGGAGGGAGGTCGTTCTGGCATGTATTAAGCTCACGATCAAAACTACGAATCTGATAGACGGATGAATGGTGAGAGTGTGCCGAATAAAAAAAGTCTGCGGTGTTGACCTTGTCAATCATCCACAGATACGGACTAAATGGTGCAGACGTCCTGGACAACGTAGCGTATGCAAGGGCGTATAACACAGACCATCAATCGAAGCTCCTGATGGAGGCAGCATCAATGATGGCAGAGGCAAGGTAATTAATCCCATTGCATGAAGCCTATGTTTTGGTATCCCCTGTATAGTGAATAAGATATTCTGGCCCGCTCCACTACATAACATTTTCAAAATGTACCTGGAGCTGGTAATGGTCCCAGTACATCCAAAATGTTTGATCAGTCTGAATGCATTCGGTCCATGCATCAGTCCAGATACAGGTCGAATGTTGAGTAGTTGATCAAGGCCCGTTGCGGGAGACCACGACTTGATGCATCATATTCTCCCTTTCTTGCCATTGCCTCCTCCCCCTCCTCCTCCTCCTCCTCCTCCTCCTCCTCCTCTTCCTTCTTCTTCTTCTTCTTCTTCTTCTTCTTCTTCTTCTTCTTCTTCTTCTTCTTCCTCTTCTTCCTCCTTCCTTCCTTCCTTCCTTCCCTCCTTCCTTCTTCTTCTTCCTTCCTTCCTTCTTTCCTTCCCTCCCTCCCTTCTTCTTCTTCTTCTTCTTCTTCTTCTTCTTCTTCTTCTTCTTCTTCTTCTTCTTCTCCTAGAAGGAGCCAGGACCATAAGGACCTGTTCAAAAAAAAAAAAAAAAACCCTGGGGCTGGCCTGTTGGATGATGATACCTCAAGGCCGTTGTCCTTTCTTCTTTCGTTAAACCACCACTACCTCCGAGCCTCTGTTTCCTGAGGCTGAGTACAACGGCGCGCCAAGCTTTTACAAAAGCGCCAGTGCAACCTTTTTTGTTTCGTTTGGCTGCCTCCACAAGCCATTTTGGTCCAGTGGTGCCCGGCCCGGTCTTTGAAGGATGCGGTATAGGTTATATTTATGACTTCGCCTTCCAGTCTGGAAGGTACTGTTTTTTTTTTTTTTTTTTTAATCGCAAAAAAAGTTTGACACTGCGTACAAACTTACAAACCCTTCGACAGCTAGCAGACCTGTTCTGCTGGTGAGGTGCCTGGTTGAAGGGGTTAATTTGGGGCGCCTGGGGGTTATATTTGGGTGTCCTGTTGACTTTTGTAGGGACGCATTATCTGTTTTTTTGGGTATTTTTACCCATCTCTGAGCTACATAAATGAGCAATCTTGCATGGGATGATGTTTTGAGGGAAGTATATTATTTGCAATTTTGCATGTATTTGATGGTGTTTTTTTTTTTCACGACTACATTCATGCCCAGCGATCGGTGGCTCCTGCCTGATGTGGCATCAATTGCTGCTCCGATCGGTCGACCTAGTCGGACAGTCTCCTGTCATTACAAACTACTAACTTCTTCCCTCAAATGCAATGCCTGAGCATCAGGACTGTATTTGGACTGGAACAAGGCATGTATACGTTCATGATGATGCGGGTGTGTTACCTTTGCTGCGCCGATTGGGTGATGGGTCTGCTCGTCTGACCTGAGATGTGGCATCAATTGCTACTCCGATCGGTCGATCTAATCGTACAGAGTCTCCTGTCGCCACAAACTAACGTCTTTCCTGAAATGCAATGCCTCAGCATCGTGACTGTATTTGGACTGGAACAGGGCATGTATACGTTCACGATGATGTGGGCGTGTTATGTTTGCTGCCCCAAATTGGTTGATGGGTTTGCTGATCTCACCTGAGAGAGTGTCCTGCTGTCACAAACTACCGAACTTCTTACCCGTAATGCAATGCCCCAGCATCACCACTGTATTTTGGACCTGAACAGGGCTTGTATACGTTCTTGGTGATTGTGCGTGTGATGTTGCGGCAATGAGTTACGTCTTGGTCTAGTATGTATGGATGGAGAGAACACTGTGGTGTTGATGCGTGTCGTTGAGTGTCGTTGGTTGTATGGCTTATCTGAAGGACATATTGATTTAAAAAGTATTGCATGTAGTTTTTCATATCTTAATCCATCTTTGCTGCGGTTCGGAAGTGACAGAGAACTGAAAAGGAAAGGGAATGAAACTCTAGGGGGAATGAAACTTTATGAAGAAAAAGAAAAAAAAAAGGGAAAAAAAACAGTGTTGTTTGTCGTTAACTGTCGTTGCTGCTGCTGTTGATGTCGTGTGCGAAACGGTATTCAGATTTGCGTTGCTCATTGTGGATAGCGCCACTGCTCTGTACCGAACGGATTTCGCGGGAAGAGGAGAGCTGTCGGCTCGTCAGATGCACCTGGGCCGTTTCTTGAGAAGTCTTCAGAAGATGGCAGACGAGGTTCGCACAGTCACTGAGTCTTTTTTGCATACCTCAGTCATTTGTCCATGGCAGTTTGTTCATCGGACTTGAGTGAAATGAACTCGAATCAGAGCATACTCGCACACTAGGACTTTTCTGGATGTACTACGGGACCGCTTTTCCAACCTCGCCTGGATGCACCTGACTCCAATTACGTCCACAGAGAAGTGGAAAAAGTCCTCGTGTGAGTATGCCCTCACTCACTCTATTTAGGGCATAATCACGCACCTGTGTAGCAAAAAAGAGCAAAATTCGCCGCATTAACTACTCCCAGTCTGCCGTTTTGCTTTGTTTCGCAGTCACACAGGGGTAGCAAAAAAAATGGAAACGACAATAGCCCGACACCCTGCCATTTCTGCGAAATTACCCACTTGTTCCGTCACACAGCAAAAGTGGGCCCAAATTTTCAGACAACGTTTCATGCCATTTATAACAAAACCAAAGGGCCATTTCAATTTTTAACCAAACTTGCCACCAATTCATAGAGTGGAGACC